ATAGAAGAGAAAATAATATTATTATATATATATTTATATATATATATATATATACCCAAGAAAAAAGATTGCAGTGTTTTTTTTTTCTCTATTTGAAACCTAGTTAACTTTTATTCATTCATAAATCATTCATCTTTTTTTTTAATTTCACTCAGTTGTCATACGGAGAACCTTTCCTGCCGGCCCTCTAGAGGTTCATTCCTTTTTTTTTCTCCCTTATTTTTCCCTACATTTGCGTTTTTCACAACCGTTTGAGCCTTGGGGCCACAAAGCCCGGGATATTCTTGCCCAACCCCCGCGGGGATACCGGCACCTTCACTTCTTTTGCCTCCCCCCGCTGCGGCTTTTTAATCGCCATGCGAATTTTGCCGTTGTGGACTAAAATGCACCCCGCGCCGTTCTGGTGCCCGGCGTAGTCCGAGGTCGAGAAGATCGTCACCACGCGCGCGTTATCGGAGAGGCGGAGGCCGTCCGCCTTTTCTTGATGGGCGCGGAAGATGTATTGATAATTATAGCGCTCGCAGAACATATCCACAGCGCGGGAGCCGAAAGTTTTGATGTCCGGCCCCCGCGCGTTCGGCCCGAAGCCGTAGCGATCGAGCTGCTGGTCCGGCGGGGCGGGGTCGGACCACAAGAGGTCGTTGACGATCATCCGCTGCGCCGCGTTGGTGGGGTCCGCGCATTGGACGACGGGGATGCGGGGGAAGGCGGGGTCGGCGATGACCTCAAGGCGCTTGTCCTCCCCGCCGGAGTACTGCGGGAGGCCGCCGTGGACGCAGAAGATCTTCTTGTCGATATCCGCGATGACCGGGAGGTACTGGAAGACCTCGTTCACGGCGACCCACACATCCACCCCGCGCTCCCGCCCGAACTTGTCCAGGCATTGGTATTTAAACGAGCTGTAGCCGTAGACGTCCATGTCCCCATTCACCTCGGGGGACTCGTGGTTGCCCCGCAAGAGGGTCACCTTGGAGGGGTTGATGACCTTCAGCGCGAGCAGGTACATCACGCACTCCAGCGAGAACGCCCCGCGGTCGACGTAGTCGCCGAGAAAAAGCAGCCGCTGGGTGGTGTATTTCAGCATCACGTCGTCGAAGGCGACGACCTTCTCCAGAAAGTACGCCATATCAACGAAGTTGCCGTGGATATCCCCGAAAACGACGATGGGAGACTTCAAATGCACGAAAAGCGGCTCCTTCGCGACGACCTCGCGGCACATATTGCAGACCGAGATCACGAGCTTGCCGAACTCGGCGAGGTTGTCGTAGGCGAAGCTGTTGTGGCTGGGCTTGGCGGCGCGGCGAATCATCTCGATCAGCCGCGCGGGGTCGACAGGGGGCTGAGTAGGGGAGTTCATGAAACTCCGCATGTCCTGCAGCTGCATCATCGTGCTGTGGCTGGCCACGGCGTCGTCGAGGACGCGGGCCTGGCGGGCGGTCGGGGCCATCCCCGCGCGCGGCGTGTCCGGCTCCGCCACGCCTTTTTGCCC